GGCATATGTACCGGAGCCTTTACGTCAGGGGCGCACAATCTTGGTATACAAGGGTAAAGGAAATAGCAACAGCATATCATCATGGCGACCCATTACCATTTATTCAATTGTGCGCCGAATTATTGAGAAGGTTCTGGACCATGAACTGAGAAAACAGATCACCTTCAGCAAAAATCAGAGAGGCTTCATCAGAGGCCTACCGGGAGCACACGTAAGCGCCAGAATTATCGACGCAATCATAAAAGACGCCAAGAATAAAAAGAAAGATTGCGCGGTAGTGTTTTTGGATGTCATTGGCGCTTTCGACAACGTTGGTCACGAACATATAATCGGCTCACTAGAGGCAAGAGGAGTGTCACCAGACCTGAAGAACGTAATTGCGGCTCTCCTAGGTTCAAACCAAATCAAGATTGGGATCGGAGCCCACTCGACTAGCTGGATCAAGGTGCGGCGAGGAGTACCCCAAGGCGGACCCTTGTCGCCCTCGCTGTTCAACCTGGCTATAGATCATCTGTACCGCGACCTGTGTGAGCAAGAATTTGCCAACCGCTATGGATATAAATTAAGCAGCGACCAAGAATGTGTGGTCCTCACAGGCTTCGCGGATGACCAGGCTGTTACAGCGTGTGACAAGGGTGCTGCAGAGAGGATTGTTAATGGTGTGCAGAGGATCCTTGCCGAGATCGGTCTAGCAATAAATCCGCAGAAAAGCGTGGGCTTGATAGTCGAAAAAGGAGAGCTGCAACAAACAAAGCTCTCCCTAGAGAACGGAGAAGTGATAGCATCAACAAAGCCAGGTGAAACTATAAAGTATTTAGGATGTGCGTTCTCGGGAGAGCTGGTATTAAATGAGGAAATGGTGACAAAATTAAACAACAACTTGGACAAATTGGTTAGCTCTTGCCTTCTTAAGCCGGAGCAGAAGATCAACGTTGTGAACCAGTACGTGTTCCCGGGACTTACTTACCCTCTTCAGACGGCGCCCCTCACAAAGATACGTCCTGCGATATTGGAAGGAATTGATACAAATATCCGCAGGAGTGTCAAGGCCATTATCGGGCTCCCTGCTAATGCATCAACGGCGATGTTTTATGCACCGAGGAGGTTTCGTGGATTGGGACTGATCCGCTGTCAATGGGAGGCTCCTTTGCAGCATTGGTCCATTGCCCAGCGGCTGTCTAATGTGCCGGATTCCCTGTTCCAGTCCACATTTGATTATAATGCGGAAATCGCGGAATGTGCGGAAAGACTGGGAGTGGATCAGGGCCACCGAAGCGTGAGAGCTCTACGACAGTCGCTGAGAGAAAATTCTTTTGAAGAGTGGGCCAGCTGCAGGTGGCAAGGCGTTGGAGTTCGACACTTTAAAGAGACCCCGAAAGCCAATAAATACATATGCCAGAAAAAAGTGCTTTCGGGGTCGGAATGGTCCAACGCATTAAAACTAAACATCAATTACGCACCTTTACGCGGAGTCCCAGGAGCCAGTGGACAGTCGAAGGAAGTTGGGTCCCTCTGTCGTAAATGCGGCAGAGAGTCGGAAACACCAGCCCATGTGCTGGGAAAATGCCCCAACAATTCCCTCCTCATAACACGCCGGCACCATAGGGTAAAGTTCGAGGTGATGAGGCTCCTTAGAGAAAAGGAATTCACCTGCTTTGACGAGGTCTATTGCATAGACAGTGAAGGCTCTACAAGATATGCGGATATTGTCGCGTTTCCCAGAACAGGAAGGACAGCGCTAATCTTGGATCCAACTGTCCGCTTTGAGAGCAACGACCTCGATCAGGCGGGTGAAGTGGAAAGGGAAAAGAGGAATATATACGAAAAATGCATCCCTTTCCTAAAAGAGAAATTCCGCGAGACCTTCGGAGAGAGAGAGTTCACCGTGAGAGGCCTCTGGTTTGGGTCTCGCGGAACGATCCCGGAAAGAACAAGGAGCTTTCTCGAAGAACTAGGTGTTGATGTTGGGGAGCTCGCGGTATTGGCCGAAAATATTATTTTGGACTCCCTGGGAATCATCCACTATCATATTTATACCGATTGAGGACATCTGGTAATAATTGTTTATTAAATTTTGAATTGATCCGCTGTCGTCCTGTCTTTTTGTCGGCACTCTGGGAATTGCTTATGAGAATTTGTTATGAGAGGAAAGAGGAAAAAGAGAGAAAGAAAGGAAAGATATGACATATATATGTATAAAAAAATAGAAAAATGAAATATAAAATTAATGTCCTTGTGGATTGATAGGTATGCTGTGTACGAAGCAACCCTATGTAGTAGGGCAGCATTACTTTTAATAAAGTATTTCTCTCTCTCTTCTAGTTGGATGGAGGATAGTATTTCTCATTTTTCCTCTTTAATAATAGAAAGGCATAAGGTAACAAAGAAGTCAAGCTGAAAGAGATACCTCAAGTATGTGTTTCATCCTTTGAGGGTGACTATTTAGGTGAATCTATATCAAATGGCTACTTCTTAAACCTTGATAGACATTTAAGTAAGGTCACTGAAGTGAAGATGGGGGTTATAAGATGTATAGTAAGAAAAGCCAGTTGGGATAGAGTGCAAAATGAAAAAAACTCAGAAATCTTGAGGAGTTTAGTTTCCACAATGGGAAAGCATTGTTGATCAATATGGCTGTCAAAAGTAGAGTAAGGAGAAAACAACCTTTTGGTTAAGGTTGTATCTGTAATAGATGTAATGAGATTAATAGAATTAATGGAGTTAATAGAATATGTTCTATTATAGAAAGAAGAAATGAAACGAAACACACTAGACCAAGTAAAATTAAGGATGTGAATAGATGTTTTTACAACATTTAGGGCATTGAGTCATTTAAATAAGAAGAAAATACATTAATATTTAATGTAATCACTACTGGACTAAAATTAAAATCATTTTATAAAATGCTACTCTTCATTAATCTTTTTGAAATTTATAAATATTAAACACGAAATTAGGGAACATATAAATCATAACTCACACTACATTTTATTTATTGATTAATTTATCACTTTTACAATTATGTACAACTTAAAATAAATGTCATATTAAATAAGCGTACAGGAATATGCAAAACTAATATAAACAGTTCATTCATAAACTTATCACAAAATTAAATAATCAAAATTTTAAAAATATCATTAAAATGAAGAAATTAAAACAGTAAAAAAATTAGCACGATTTTAAAATACGATAAGTTAAAAATAGATTATAAATAATTTTGATTTGACAGACTTATTCTGTCATGTAAATATAACATTACAGGGATTTAAATTTGATTTCACAAAAATACATTTAAAATATATTTATATGTTAAAAATAGACAACTTTCAATGAAGATCGAAAGGCACCAAAAATTCAGAAATTCATTAATAAATATTGTAACATTAACATCACATTTTGCCTTTGACTTTTAAGAATATTATTATAATAGACAACCATAAATTATTGAGCCAAGTAAATAAACCATTTTTGTTTTAATCGAAACAAGTAAATCTAACTTGAGACGGTTTTGAAGGACATTTTTATAAACATTTTAATGTTTCATAAATTGTTTTGAAATTCCTAAAATTGAGAATGTTGGATCTTTTAAATTAGTCTCAACAATATTTTTTCATTTTTAAAAAACCTTATTAATTAAAAAGTTCATTTTTTTAGCATTCTAAAATATTTATGGTTTTTAAATTTTTTGTATAAGTATTGGAAATTAAAATACAAATAAAATTTGTAAAATTATAATTTAAATTGATTACTATGTTTTTTATTTAGTGGATGTCTGAAATTAATTATTAGTTCTAAGACTGTAGAACAAAAAATTAAAATTTGTAAGATAATTTTAATGTTTTCAAAATTAAAATGTCAACTTTTATTTTAAGTATCAGAGATTCTCAATTTTAAAAATAAAAAATAATGAGCCACATGAAAATACAAATTGAAGTTGATAATTTTCATTCAACATTTTCAAGTTATTATTTAAATACTTCTAAAACTACACATTAATTTAACAGAATCATTATTGCTACCTTAATTTTTTTAAGTTTGAGTTAATAATAGAAATAATTTTATGGCAGTTAATTCCTTAATTACTTATGGCACAATTATGTGCATTGTTACTAAAATAAGTGACACAATTAGAAAATAATAATAAAATGTAACACTATACAAAGATTCAAAAATTAATCATTGAACAATTCAATGGCTATTATTAATGTCCTCTAAGAGTCTAAACATAAATAGGAATAACTCAATTGCAAGTAAATTATAGAAATATTTACAAACTAAAATTACACATATAACAAAGAGAAATAAAGAATTTTTGGATAGGCAGTCTAATAATTAGTTGGAGAAACCAGAGAATTACAAGAATAAAATGAAAAAATTCATTAAAATATCTCTGGAAATTGTGAAATAAAATTATCCTAAGAGAACAGGGCATAAGATTTCTGATGAGATCACTATTAGACTGTTAAAAAATTCAAAAAGACTTATTAAAAAAGCAAACAAAAAAAAGGTGGTTATCTTTGACCAAAAGCCATTTCACATCAAACATTTTATCAGAAAAAAGAATGGTCAAAGAAAAGAGAGATAAATTAATTTTGTATCCAATATATCTATCTACAGACAGTAGAATAAATGTCATAAAAAAAAATTAAAAAACAAGAAATGAATCATTGAAAATTTTACAAATAAAAAATATACTAAAATTTAACAATGGTAACATTATCACAACTATTCACAAGTTTTTCGAGTCCACAAAACTATCATAAAAATACTACATTTCCAAAAAACATCTTAAGTACATCACTGATAAAATGTCACTTTGGAACTCGACCCACTTTACAGATATGTTCTTAAAAAAAATTCATTACACTTCAGCAAGGTTGAAATAACATTATCCCTACCTACTTCCTGAAACATTTCCACTTCAAAAGAGTCTTTTTAACTACCTCAAAATTGTAAATAGAAAATGAGTAGAATTAACGAAAAATTCTATGAAGAGATTATGCAACGTTTAAAGGTAGAGCAGCATTTGCATTAAGATCTGGTCGTGATGTTGACACTGGAAGGGTCGTTGAACAGCGGAAGTTGGTCTCTTCCAGTTCTCTTCTTACCTGTGACAGAACTGCACTTCTCTCAACTTCATCTCCTGCTTCCTGCATTAACTAGCCAAAATATAATAATCAATTGAAGTACATAATTATATTCATTAAAAATATAGAAAATAAAAATTCCTCAAGACAATTTTACAGAATTATTATGAATTAAATATATCTTTTTAATAAACTGAATTGTTTTGTGCAACAAAATTCTCTTCCTCTGCATTTATAAAATTTTGTTTTAAAATTAAAAAAAAACCTACTACAGAAATAATTCTAGCAATCATTATAAGTATAAATATATAAAACCAGTGGTAGATTGTTATCAAAGTTGATTACTATTAAGATTAATTAAGATATTAAGAAATTTGGAGTAGTAGTGAGGTGCCTTCCATTCTCGAGCAAAACTCGAAATTCTTTCATGCGTTGACATGCACTGATGCATAGAATGAAATTTAATTTCCAAGAAGGAGAAGATTTAGTGAATTCCTACACCAATTTTAAATATTCATAAATGTCCATTTCACTAATAATTTACAAATCTGTTTAGGTAGATATTTAAGTACATTCCCTTTAGTATGAATAGAGCCATTTCTATAGTAGGTATTTTAATTTAATAATCTTTTTATTTTTCAAGTACTGACAATTTATATTCACCATAATGAACATGAAATTGCACATCATATGGTGGTGTATCTAGAGTGGGGCAGTAAGGCACGTTCCCTGGGCACCAATCAAAAGGGAGCACTAAATTTGCAAAGTATTAAACTTAAAAATTTAACTAAAACAATAATACAATCTGAATTCCGATAATTTCTGTATTCCTGTTACCCTGGTGAAATAGTGAGAGGGAATCTGGGGAGCACAGTACTAGTAAAACCCTATGAAACTATGTTCAAACAAGCTATATCTTATAAAATGAATTTCTTCATATTGAAAAATGAGATTGGAAAAACGGAAAATTGCATAAAAATCAAAATTTAGAAATTGCCTTTTGACCGATTGAGATGATTTATCTTTTAAAATGCTAGGTTTTTACGTTTATAGCATCCTACAATTGGATTTAATATCGAATCCCCTGCTTCACGAATGAGAAAGAGCAGATCACTGGCAAGCATAGACATTTCTATTCATATTTCGTTCACAATGGCAGTATCCATTGCAAGTTGTAAGTGATCTTTCAGTTATTTAAAATTAATTAATGAAGGTGATACAAACTAGCTTTGCTCAGTGTAGAGCGAGAACAAATGGATTCAACTGATTTCAAAAACATCATCGATATGTTAGCGTTGCAGTAGGCCAGGAAGGTGCTATTGGTATTGTAATAGTTTAACAGACTTAATTTTGTTGTAAAATAGATTTATGACTTTTTTATTTTGTGTATCTTTATTTGTATTAATATAATTTACTAAGGGGCACAACTATAATTTGTGTCCTAGGCACCGTTTTTGATTGTATCTCCCCTCCCTATCCCTAGCTCAAATAGTTTGAAAAACTGACAGAATAGCACTGAGTAATTTGAGCCATCAAACTATGAATTTGAGCCATTCTTTCAAAAATTATTATATACCTTCAAATGACTGATTTAAGGCACTTATATAATAATTTGACAGTGTTTTGAGCTGAGATTATATTAAAATACTCATGAGACTTTAAGGAGTAATTCAAGCCATAAAAAAAAAATCTGCCCAGCTGTTAACACAAAAAATCGTTACATTACTATAAATAGTCAAGCTATTAATCTTCCTCCTTGAAGTTGTACAGTAGGTGGGCAAAAGTTAAAGGAGTCTTTCAAACAACTTTTTATTGAAAACATTAATATCTAGTACCTTTTGGTAATATTTAATGTTAATAAATCATTAATGATATAAACAATGGTAAAATATATATTCTTCAATGTTCTTGATAAATATATATTCAAACTTGAGTCATTATATTATTTACAAATATCTAATTTTTTGAAAATAGCTTCCCTCCCAATGTCAAGAATGATACGTACAATCACTAAACATTTTTTGGCCACTAATTGATTTTTTTTTTTTAATTACCTCCAGAGCCGAATCTATAGCTTCATACAGTCTTCGAACTTCAGACATAGCCTTATGCCAGTTGTTAGTAAGTAATTCCTGTGCTAGTTCAAACTTCTTTTCAGACTCATCCAATTGTTTTTCTCTTTCTTTTAATTCTTTTTGAAGGCTTTCAACCTAAAATGTATACATAAGTATCAAGAAAACATAATTTATCATGTTAAAAAAATTTCAAATTACTTGATATTTTTATCTGAATTTACCTGAAGAGAGGATTTTTCTGTTTGTTGCAGCTTTAATTTAAGTTCTTTTATTTCATTCTTTAAAGTGTCCATTGTTTCATTAATATTTTTAACTTCTTTCTCACCGTTTTCTCTGAAATAGATGAGATTAAACATATTAATATTTAAAAAAATGGATGTCTGTCTTGGAAGCATATAGTCTAATTAAACTTTAGAAATATGTGACAGAGCACATTTGATTGACAATGAGTATCTAATTATTTATCTCAAAGGCAGATACGGAATGTTCGGTACTGGGGATATAGGACATCCCAAAGTTCACTGGAGGACTGTGTTGTAATGTTGCAATGCAAAAACACTGTTTAACAAACTGGCAGGTAGGTATATACAGATAACAACTAATTTAATCCATACCATCCACCCACCCACTAAACACTAATTTTTCCTAATAAGAATATCCTTTCATTAATACAATTAATTCTTTAAAAAATTCTCTCAATCAACTTATCTTTATCTTTCAAAAATAAGAAGAATGCAACATTTTAATTAGTAAAAAAAATTTAAAAAGTGTTTTTTCTCCTAAAAGAATTCTTATAATCCAAAAAATAACATAGTTTAAGATTACTTTAAAACCATTTTCCTGGTTAATATTTTAATCCTATTAAAGATTATAAGTTCAGTTACGAAATATTAGTTTTATATAAACGCAAGATTTATATGTAAAGATCAACTGGCCATAGTTATACAACAAAAATCCAACCTACAATTTCAATTCTTTGAGGTGTTCATGCAATATACTTGATTTTGACATAGTTCATGTTTTGCAAAAGAGATCCAGGCAGTCTTCATAGGTGAAAACCCACTTGAACCACTTTTGCTGTATGTCAAAATCTAGCCTATAGCATGAACAACTTAAAGAATCGGTGTTGTGGGTTATAACTTTGTTGTATAAGTATGGCTGATTATTGAAAGAACTTTAAAGCAAATTTAAAATATAATCAGAAATATTTAACATATGATAGCTTACTTCATATATTTGATATTTTGTCTTTTAGCTTCAATTATGTGAAGAACCCTAAGGAGCCTTGTTACCATGTTGTCAACTTCAATAACTTGGTCAATAATGCCACCCCCTTGGGTTGCATGGGATTTCTGGCCGCAAAGAAAATTAGATTCTTCTTCTTCCCTCTGCCTTCTTATAATAGCATCAGATAAATTTTGAATAGAGTCACTATTAGTCAGAGGTCCATCTTCTCAAAATTGAAAAAAAAAAAAAAGTTAGGTAAAATTATATGAACAATATATTTAGTTTATAATAAACAATCTAACTATAAATATAAACTAATTTAACGTGAATTATTAAAATAATAATAAGATCACAAAATTATATATGCAAGCAATTAATTGAAAAAGAATTATGATATTCTAACTTTTAAAACTTTAAAAATCTATTATACTTTATATTGTGCGAGGTGGTTTTACAATGGAAAATAAATATTAACTTAGTTTTTTTATAATATAGATTAAAAATTCTCCAAAAAACAAAACAAAAAAAAAAAAAAAAAGCGATATTTAAATAGTAAGAAATTATAAATTATTTAATATTTTGTTTCTTACAGTATTTTGGATATCTATAGAATGTCTTCATTTTTATAAATCAAAACAACCATTTTGATTCATACAGTAGTTTCAGTGTTAATTACAATAAAACTAATACAATATTAAACCACTAAGATTGTGGGAATTATAAAGATTAATGGTGAAAACAAATTACGCTGTAATTATTAAATTAAATAAGTTTTAAATAAGTACAAAAATAATCTTGAATATAAAATTAAATAATAATTTTTTTGTTGATTAAAAAGATATCCTCAACCCAAACTTTTCAAAACTATGAATTGCTCTATGTAAAAGATACAATTTTATATTTTATTGATGTATCGACTTAATAAATTGTAGATAAATAAATGATACAATTTTATTATTAGACTTAGATTGTAAACTTTATTTGGTACAAATTAATGAAAATCTGATACCTGACAAATCAAAGTCGTCAGAGGCAGCTATGGAGGCCCGATGTGATTTGAGAGGTGAAATATCAGGTAAAGAAGCGAATGATGATCTCTTATCGGAAAACACAGGCTCTGACTCCGAGGCTAAAAGTTCACTCTCAGAGAAAGTGTCTGTAACACCTATAATATATTAGATATAGACATGGTATTAGTTTTCAAAATAATTATATACTTAACGTTGTAAACATTTAATTAAAAAAAAAAAATGACACTGAAAAACAGGGAAAATTTATACCGATGGGCTAATATTACTCCAAAACTGGAATAATTTCTTTGATGAAATAAGAAAAAACTAACAGAGAGACTGGAGGTTATCTTAATTAATGAAATAATTTTTTTTTTCTGAAAGTAGGAAACAAAAAAGCGATTCTGATCTCGTATGCCAGAATCAAATTTATTGCCACATTTACTGTTTGTTTATTCACTTCTGTCGCTCAGATCTGAGATCTGTGACAAGTGTGAATAAAAGAAAAAACAACCTGGAGAAAGGTTAATGTTACTCTCCAAATTATAATGTTCTCTCACTTTATGGTGCATAAAAACATTTAACAGTTCAATCCTGGGTACCAGAAGCTGGTATTATATTGCCTTATCCATTTTATTATAATAAATTTTAATTTAAAAACAAATGTCTGGGAATATAAAACTAACAAAACACTTGGTCTTGTACTCGTCATGTATATGAAACAAAAATATATATGTATTCCAAATTTTACACGAGTGCAACGGCAGGATATAGCTAATATAATATTAACCTTTAATCTATATTATAAAGGATCAATATAATAAAAGAAAATAATATAAAGTAAACTATAGAAGAGCTGGGTATTATATTAAGGTTATATAGTTTACACAGTTTAAAAGAGGTCTGACCAACTAGGCTACATTTACATTACAAGGCATCAAATTGGTCCATAAAGGGTCAGGCCTGATTTAAAAATATCAATTCTATTTTTTGGCAAACATCGATTCACTAAATGTTATACTGGTAAAATAAGATTTTCACATGTGTTACAATTGTGTCTACATTAATTAATCAACAGTGATACTAAAAAAAAGCAAATACTTATAATTACCAGGAGTAGATCTGTGAGTTGCTGACTTGATCGCAGAAATAATAGCAGCTAAGAAACCACCACTTTTCTTTTCCTCTACTTCTGGACTCAAATCACCACTGCTGTCACTCTCATTGAAAGCTTCGTTGTGATACACTACATCCTGTACAAAGCCATGATGTTTTAAGTTATACAAACAAATATAAATAATGAATAGTAAAATATTTAATAAAAGAAATGTTATATTTCCAATTAAATTGTTGTATAAAACACCTAAATTTCTCAAATCTTCATCAGTATTATGTTAACATGGAGTAATTACCATTGTAAGTATGAATAGCACTGAAATTATAGTATATTTGAAAAAACAATTTTTTGTTAAAATATTAAAACCGTAATGACTGCCATATTTAAATTAGCAGTCAACAGGATTATTTATATTTAAAATGCTCAATCTTATAATGATTCATAAGATATGCTAACCAGTACTTAAATTAAATACCATATCTAAAATATAAATAAAATTTAACTTATGCTTATCAATATCACACCAGAAACCACCACCACAGAAACTCAAAACTCGTGATATCAGCATTTAACGAAGCAAAATGTGTGATGAAAATAAACAACACTATCAATTTATTCCTGATGTGTGTATATATAGCTTTAATCATGCAAACTAACTAATCACAAACACAACACGTAAGGCTTGCTCACAAACACTTTGACAAGCCAAGCGATTTATTTCTTTAAAATTACATATGTGTAAAATCACAGATAATGGTGTTTTTTCTTCAATTTATCTATAATGAAAAGAATTCATTATTAGATCATGCCAAACATTTAAAATTTGTGATGTTCATATGCAACCATCTCAATAGAAAAATGCTGAAAGTAAAAGTGCGTTAAGAGGTGTAACTTACCTAAGGCAGACCTTAATGCCATCGCATGAACAAGAAGGTGAATATAAATAAAAAATAATGCAAGAAGCTTGGCTTATCAATGAATATAGAAGTCAAGAAAGATAAATAAAAGAGTTACATTAATTTCTATAACATAAATAATAGAAAAATATAAATCTAAATAAAATAAAATAAAATATGTAATTATAAAAAACAGCCACTTTTCATGAGATTAAAAAAATAAATAAATATGTAGTTAAAAAAAGGCTAGATAACGAAAATTGGCCATGAAAAAAAATCTCTAACAATATAATAGTGTAAGGGTCGGGCTCAGACTTTGTTAAGTACAACTATTTTTAAGCCAACAGTTGTCTATAAACATGATTCCTCCACCTCCAGGTTTCCCAAACTAAAGGGTACCCACTTTCCAGAAGCTGGGTGTGCCACTAGGGGCCTCCTTATGCCAGGAGTGATCCACTGCTGATATAACAGAATAAATATCTGCCACAGACAGACCTGAATAAGAACACAGGCCCGAGACACAGATGAACAGTGCCTGATTTAAGGAGCTTACCCTACACTCTATTCCTCATGAAAAATGTTAAAAAGTTTATAAAACAAGTTTAAGTTAAATTGATTTCTAACTAACTATATGCAGTAGGAACAGAAGGAAAATGAACAAGTCATTGATTTGTTAAAAACGAATTTGTAGCTATTTTTTTTACAAAAGGGCACAGATTACAGCAGAAAATTAATAACGGATAATAAATGAACTTTTAGTTTAATTTTGATAAGATTATAATTTAAAATTAAAGCAAGGCACTAATTATATGAACTGACTGGGACCTTAATTAGGTTCTTACTTTAAGAAAAAATTGACTTGATTTTATTAGGCAGAGAGAAACATGAAATATGCCTTATCAGTAAACTAATTAATGCTTATATACTTAAACGTATTTATAACTTTTCTTTTAGATGCTCTTATTTTCATTTTTATTATGTTTTTCAGTAAATAGCTTTTTTTCCCTACAGGTTATTCACTGTTTCAGCAGTGGGAGCAATGACTAAGTTCTAAACTATGTTTAAAGAATTGTTTATTAATTTGTATAAATATTATTTATCATCCAAGATTAATTTAATTTTTCAAACTGGTGCTTAAACAAAGAGATATTAAAACAAATAAGATAATAATGTAAATAATTAAAATCTGATTAATCTTAGTTTTGAGAATAAATTATATTGGCAAATAAGTCTTCGGTTTTCCAGGATGAAATAAAACTCAATGTATTATAGACATAAAGTTTATTTTGGTCTACAATATATTGACCATTATTTAATATGACTTTTTCCCATTTCTCCACTAATTGCGTAATGCCATGTTCATTGAATGTCTGGAGTTTATTGTTAAAAAACTGATCCAACTGGTTATCGATGCCCTCTTCCTTTTGGACTTTCTTTCCATTCATAGAGTTCTGCAGAGACCGGAATAAGTGGTAGTCACTTGGTCTAGTCTAGTCTCTATCTTGGTCAATAGGTCTAGTGAATAGGTAGGGTGGGGCAAAAGGTCCCATCCAAGGCTCAATAATTTAATGCAAGTGACCAATGAGGTGTGGGGACTAGCGTTGTCTTGATGGAACACAACACCCATCCAATTTGCCAGTTCTGGGAGATTTATTTTAACTGATTGATCCAATTTTGTTAATTGTGAGCAGTATAGAGTTGAATCAATAGCTCATAGATAGCCTTGAAATCCCACCATCATTATCAAGGAAATCATTATCTTCTTTGGATGCAATCCGGATTTTGACTACATTATCATAAAATATCCATATTTCATCCAAAAAATGTGTTGTTTTGTTGCTGTTTCCATAGTGAGTCACAAACAGAAATGAGTGTTGCCAAGTTGACTTTGGTTAGAGAGCGGGGGACCCAACCATTAAGCCTGGAAACATAGCCACGCTTGTGCAAATGGTTTTCTAAGCTTGTGTGCGACATATTTAGGGCCATAGCAATCTCTCGCACTGATTGGGTGGGATTTTGATCAACAATGACCTTAAAATTGCTCGTTTCAATTTCATGTGGGCGACCAGGGTAGAAGTTCAATGACAGTTTTATAATAGAAGATAATAAGGCCAAGGAAGATTATTAGAAATCAAAGAGGAAGCAAGGTTAGAAACCAGAGGATTTGCAAAGAAAGATAAGTACCTGAATTGGGCTAAGTCATGGTATAGTGGAACCTTAAAGCTTAACTCCTCAAAGTAAACATGCCTTATTGTAGTCATGTAAATGAAGTGAGAGCTGGGGTGGCTGAGTGAGCTAATGCGTGTGCAAAACATGGGCTTTCCAGAGAAACCTGTGATAAATCGAAGTTTACAAGTTCAAATCCCATTCCAAGGAGACTTTTAACTCTGGCATAATTCCTCTGCCCTCATCTCTGGACCAGCAAAACCCTAAATAGCCTAAAAGGCAAGGAAGTGGAGAAATGAAATTAAAAAAAAAAAGTCATGTATATGAGCCTTTTGGAATTAATTTGAAGCTTAGAGATTTTTGTTTTTAGTGAACTAGGCAGAACTTCTAGTAGTTTTTTGCCGTTTCATCTTTGGATGAAGCTTCCAACTAAGATATTTGTCCAGGTGGAGTTCTAGTTAGTGGATATACTCAATAGGAATAAATGGAGGATTATTATAGCATACTGTAGGACAGGAAGTCAATTTATGATATGAGTTAAGCTGATTTGAAGGGATTTGTTTATTAAATCCTCCAGTTTGGACACTATTCTTCATGGATCATCAAATGTAATTGAAGAGTATGTGAAATAATTAATATGCCATTGTTAATTTAAAGCAAATATACAAATAGGAACACCTAATAATAAAGTATTTAGGAAATATGAATTGATAGATTTTGTAAAGTATTCTTGACAATCAGATTCGATTTAAAACAAATAGAAAGATGAAAATAAATTGGTAACTGTTTGTATATTTTTTTTATCATACGAAGAATATCAAAATAATGTATTAAAATGTAACCAAGATTTGTTTATTATGAGAAATGGGTAAACATAAAATATTTCGAAACAAAACAAACCGAAAAAGTTTAGTGGTGAAATAAGATTTCATTCTAATATTCAAAATAAAACAATAAAAAGGAAAATGTCTATTTATGCAAATTAAAATTTATATAATATAACATAAATGAATTGAATAGTATTCCTTTAAAGCCAAAAAATAAAAATCTATCAAATAGTGCAAATATGGTTCATCAATGAAGTGAGTATTTGAGCACTATGAAACATTGCCAGGGTTTCAGTTCTTTATTAAAAGATAATAAGGGGAAACTTACATTCATAATTAAGTGTAGGAAATATTTCAGCGAATATGTTTACAAACTTGATATACCCAACCAATGGCATATAAATGGTAATTCGCACAAATATTGGCAAACAGAGAATCTGTGGGGGTGCATTAAACAACAATGTATTTTCAAATCAAAAGTGTATGCAGTGAATTGATAAACTATTTGATCTAATTATATACAGCTAAGCTGGTACAGCACTGATGTTGCAACAAAAATATCCATACCTGGATTCTACATCGAAGGTAGGATTTTGTTGGAACCATAGAAATGTAATTGCTTATTTGCGTCTGTACATAGTTCTGTAACAACCAGGAAAACCAACCCTCTGAATCAATAAGAATTTTTAAATCCTGGCAGGTAAAATAAAAAAAATAACTAGCGAAAATAGAGAGTTGTGGCCTAAATGCCAAAATAAACTGTAAGATTTTTGATCGTTTCTCAAATTGAAACTTTAATTCAAATTTTATCAATGGACTTACAATGTCTTAAGTTATATTTTAAAATAATTTCATGTTTGAGTTATTAAAAAGGAATTTTCAAAATTTTTAGTTAGTCTTCTATAATTTTTATTGTAATCAGACGATTAAATAAAATCAGATTACTGAATTCACAATACACAAATTTTATTAGTATATTTAGTGTAATATTAACACTATTTATTATAGTCTTATGACTAAATTTAACATATATTTTTGTATAGTACATAAAATGAGCATATATTTTTATGAACTATATTTTTATGTACATTGAAGAATATTATTTATTTTTCTTTTAAATAATTGAGAATTAGTTCTCAAAAATAAATTAAGATGAAAAATAATATATACTCAGTAATTTTTTTTTTACTAGTCATTTAAGATTTTATTGAAATAAAAAAATTGATCTCTTGGCTCCACACACGTTCAAAATCACCAGTAACTTAGAGGTGCTAGAAAGGGACTGAAAATTATTCAGTTTTATAGGCTATGAAATATAAACTGCTGGGGTTCTATGTTGCATTCATACAAATATTTACATTAAATTGCAGATATTCAGTTAACCCTTTATTATTTAAAATTAATACTATTAAGTGAACTAATAATATTTACATTGTGGTTTTTACATAAAATAAATTGCAGAAAATTGAGCATCATTTTCATTTCATTCAATATTATAGACATTGACTAAAATTTATAGGAAAGGTTGGAATATTTTGGTTGAAAAGGTTTAATTGGAAAATAATGGGTTTCACGTACAATATAAAGGGTAGGCATTCAATTATTTATTTACTTCAGTTTAATTGTTACACTTTTAGTTTAAAAAGCTATCTAGCTTTTTACAGATTTATAAATTTAAAGATGGATATTTGTAGACTGTTTTTAAAATTGGTCTAGGATGGTAAATATTCAGGATTTTCAGTCTAAATGTGTTTATTCTGTTGGCTGATGTCTCGACTTAAGCAGGAGGGCCATCGTCAGGTTCAAGGAAGCCATGTTCTTGATGCTGAGCTAGTTAGAAACCATTGCCCTAATGATGACACACATGCTTGGATCGAAATATCGGTGATCAGAATAAAAGCATTTACACTAAATAATTTATCAATCATGTTAGAAAATTGTCTACTTCAATTAATTTTAAACAAAATATAACCACGTTTTTCCTTAATATGTACAAAGAATAAACTGCAATCATACATGACCTTTGATGTTTTTTTCTGATAAATAAGGATGAATCAAATATAAATGGTAATTATTTTTTTATACAAATATTAGTTTATTTTATACACAAAAGATACTTTAAGTATAAACGTAGTCTCCTGTGCGATCTACACATCATTTTATGTTCATGCCCCTGAAAGAAAAAGTTGGAAAAGAATAATTACAAAAAAATGAAGAAGTTGACGATTATCTTGGAGCTCGTCCTCAAACTTTTTATGAACAAGGAATATCCAAAATTCTGAACTCGTGTAAAAGATCATACAGGAGACTACATTGAGAAATGCTTAACCATAGATAGTGTATAACATTAATCAATAAAAATCATCATCATAATCTGTTCCTTTTTATTATTGGTGGTATGAGACTATTGCTAATAGCACTGCATCCATGGATGCTTGTCCTTCATCCGTGTTCTACTTCTATTTAATTCTGGACCTACCTCTAGACTGCATCCCTTCTACTTTGACCTCAAAGTCCTCTCTGGCAAGATGATGATTCGTTATTCTAAAGAGCCAAACCACATAACTGGGATTCCTTTATTGCTATCTGCATGGGGTTTAAAACGTGACTGGACCTTATTGCAGTTTTCCTAATCCTACAGGGTCTGGTTCTGCACTCCACCTTCATGTATTGCATGAATCAGTTCTTTTTGTTTTGTTGTTATTATCCAGGAATCAAAACAATATGTATAAAGCAGTAATAGTGTTGATTTATATATCTTGAGTAGTATCCTCATTCATCTCTTTTCTGTCAAGAAAGTCTTAATTTAATGCTCAAAACAAATTTCTAGCAGTTTTGACATGTTTCTGGATTTCTAAGTCACAGAAGCCCAACTCAAGTAGATGAACCTCGAGATACTTGAATGAGTCAGCTTTTTTTTTTATATCAGAACCCATATATCTTATCCCTGGGATTTTTTGTCAGCCCATTTTACTTTTGTCATTTTAGTATCAATTTTCATATTTAAAGATCAATAAAAAATTACCATTTATATTTGATTTTGATTTAAAAATGAAATGTTAAATAGACCATTCACTAATAGTTATGTGCTAAGCACAATAAAATTACCAATGCAACTACAATTATTAATAAATTAGGAAGTAAGCAAAACACATAGTGTACCTCTAGATCTGCCGAAGAAATATTATAAGTTGAGACAAGGTTTGAAACCAGAATATCTAGCCTCGAGCCAAGCCCTGATAATGCCACTGCGGCACCAGAAACTGCAGCGCCTTGTTCTAGCATAGTCTCTTTGCTCCTCATTTCAAGAGTTCGTAATCTTGATTCCAGCGATAGTTTCTCCTGTCTGGATAAAAATTAATCAAGTGAGTACATTGAAAACCTATTAACATGGGGAAATATTAATGACAATGGGTATTTTAAAGAGTATCCATTAACAAAACTATAAAAGTAACTTCTCGGAATTAACTTATAAGTTCTGTTACTTGATTTTAAAAAAATATATTACTTTTAAAATTATTAGTGCTACAAATGGATAGATTCTCTACAATTCTTTTCAAGCTTTTATATTTCTCTGTACCATATTTACTAGTTTATAGAGTTTATACTTAGTTTATAGAGTTGTAAATTTCTTGAATAAAACAAAAAAAAAGTTTAAAATTATTGGTAGTAAGCATGAAAATAAATTAAGGGAAATAAAGCAACTATAGAGAAAAATATTATATCACTAGATTCCAAGGAAAAGAAACCATTACTTGCCATTAATTTACATAACTAATACTATTTTTAGAAACTTTATACTTTCAATTTATTATTAAATTTCATCTGATATAATATAAATACTGTGTAAGGGCTAAAGTGACCCGTAAGAGGAGCTCCCAATTGTTATAAATTAATATAAACTAAAAATTTAATTATTAAAAAAATAATAATTGTTATTTCACAATTTAAAACTAATATTTCTTATTTGCACTTGTAAATAATGAAAAATGGAAAATAATTAAGTCATCATTATGTAAAACAATATTATTAATAAGGGAGAGGGAGAGGAGGAGTTGATTTCTCCTTTACTATTTTTCTACATTTATATAAGTATAACTTTATACTAATTCAAGTTTTACCTCCTTTGTTCACACATCCTCACAAGATGTGTGCACTCTTCTTGCTGTTTTGCTAGTTCTGATTCAGCGTTTGTAAGGGAAACTTTGGTTTGTGCCAACTGTAAGATGAATATGAGTTTAGAATATTTCCAATTCAAAGAATAAACTATAAGCTTAAATTTAATATTATTGATTCAAATATTACAGGCATATTTTATGAAATGTGAATTAAAAAAAGTAAATAATTCTATCCAAAGTACAATCATCTGACCTCAACTTCTAGTTCCTTCAATGTTTCAGCTAAAGTTGATTTTTCTGCTTGCAGGAATTCTTGTATTTCCAGGGACTCTGCTTCACTCTCCTTTTGGTCTTCCAATAACCGTTCTTCTCGTAAAGCACATCTTTCCAATTCCTTAAAATCAACAGTGAAAATAAATTTGAATACATATAAATAGTAAAAATTGCCACTAGCATATTTTATAAAACAGAGATGATTTTTCAAATGACTTTTTTGTGTAAAGAAAATGAAGGAAAAATAAATAACAAAGATGATAATTAACTGAATAAGTAAAATTAGTGAATAAATAAGTGAAGAAAGTTATTCAAATTCAGATTTTAGACAAATTTTCCTGAAAATTTTGTGAAAAAAAATTTCTTGCTTGGTTAGAGTGATCATCAAGTTCAATTATAATCGCTGTGTGGGATGAATTTTTTATTTGTTTTGTACTTGGCTACTTCCGGCTCGCAGGGTGGTTATCCTACATTAATCTATTCTAGCAAGGGTAGTTAAAAAGAATATATAGAAGGCGAACTTTACATTAGTTGTTAAGAGAATTAAGTTTTTCTGTAAAGGAAGGATACAAATATATTCCTAAAGAATTTAATGAAAACTAAATTTATTGTCATTGAAATTTCTAGGTTTATTTACGTTTCTAATTTGTTTTATAGTTAATAAAATCACTGTTATTTATTGAATGTATAACCATAATAGTAATCTATTTAGCCGTTTGAGCATGTTTTTAAAGGAAATCATTTATTAGCTAAGTTTATAACTAATGAAGTTATGAAATGAAAAGTTAAAATGAAATTATTTGATTTAATGATATATGTATATAAAAATACCTTCTTCAAGTTACAGCACAGGGTATGAAGTTGATTGATTTCCAGATTCTGTTTTTTAACAATATCAGTCACTTTTTTCTTGTCTTTCTCAATGCATTTTATCAGTTCATCTTCACCTATTACATAAAGAAGGTAATTCAACTAAAGGAATTTTCTGATATATAACTAAAATTATATTCTGAGATAGTATTTATGAAATAATGCTGTGTCATAAAAATCTCAATATTCTTTTTAGTACAGTTTAAACTGTTACATACCCCCTAAGCCAAGTATAGACCTAATACTTTCTTCTATTTTTTGTCTCTCTTCCTTCTCCTTGGAAAGTTCTTCCGATAGGCTGGCCTTCTCTTCAGTCAGTCTCTTAGCTCTCTCCTCTAGTTCTTTGTGTTCTTTTTCTAATTTCTCAAATTCATTTAATCTTCCTTCCGCCTAAAAAAGAAAGAAAAGATATATTAATATAGAATAAACATTCATCTTAAATTAAAATGATTTAAATATTAAACATTTTTTTAAATGATAATATTTATTATCATAGTTAAAAAAAATATACAAAATGAAATAAAGGCATTCAACCCAAACATGTGGGTCATCATCGGGGTATGTTTCGAGCACTGATGATGACCCACATGTTCGGGTTGAAACGTCGGCACTGATAAAAACTTTATAATGAATGCATCCTGAATATTTATCACCCATGAGATATAGAACAGTCGACTAACTTCCTCCAATAATTCTTGAAATAAAAAGTGTAATTTATTTAAGTTCTGCAAAATCCAAAGAGGTTCAAGAAAAAATATTCAGTAGTGGAAATATAAGTATAATCCAAGGCAGAATAATAGATTCATAGATGGCTCAATTTCCAGGTGGTAAGTGTCTAGGCCTCTCATGTTTGATATGGTTTCATGATTATTTTAATTTAAGAGGACTTTAGTGCCTTCATAGAGTGCCATCACAAATTCTCCATCCCAAGGTATTTGGATTAACAAGCTCTAGTCTGCTTCACCTATACTGAGCCAACCGAGAGGTGCTTTCTGTTTACAGGAAAAAAAATATACCATAATAAAAATATATACTTCACTTCCTCATGAGGGATTCCATTACTATGCAGAAAAGACTTTGCCAGGGCTAATCATTGATGAACTTGCATAATTTGCAGAAACTAGAAACCAAATTTAAGCAACTTTTAATTTTTCTTTAAAATGTTTATTTGCAGAACAACCGTAATTAATACTATTGGTTCTTTTAAGATCACTATTTGCTGAGCAAATATAAAAACAAAACAAAAATTCTTTGGTAAGGAGATGTCATTACTTACATAGAGAACAGGAGCCAAAATTGTTAGCACTATTGCAGAGGACAGCATTCATATTTCGTTGCATCACAAACAAAAAAATTCAGTTTTTGAATTGAATTGAACTCACCTGGACTCCAATAGTCACTAGCTCGACCCTGTTGGCTGGATCTCGAACACGGGCGGAAGTGGTTGCCTCAATGTCTGCTCCTGTGAGCCCAGTCTGGCACCCGACCTCATGGTATATCTTGGTTCTGGCCCGTGTCTTCTTGATCCCGGTGGGCGTTTTGTTCTTGTCCTCTTCAGCCTTCTTCCTTCGTAGGCTGGCTGTCCTGTTTAGGCTAGGTTCCCTGCTCTTCGTCAAGTTTTCAGCTGATTTCCTTCGCCTTCGTGGTAGGGTGGCATACTTGTCTGAATTATTCCTCTCTGGGGCACTTCCTGAAACGAAAAAAATGTTTAATCCATTATATAAAATTAGAATTTATTTATATAATTAATTAATAACAACAATATTTTTTCCATTTGGCTTTTTCCACTCTCCATAACGTTCTACAACTTTTTATGTTAGTTAATTAATTTTTCTGAAATGTTTAACTTTCTAATGGTATATATTACATTATTAATATTACTTTTAGAAATTTGTTTGTATTCTGGAAAATATTCCTCTTAATTTTTTTTTCGACCAGTTAACTATCAAATTATTGCATTGTTTATATTTAGACAATTTTTAATTACTACTAACAATGAGAAACGGTTCATTATTTTAAATAAAAAAATTTAAAGGTACTATATTGAATGAAATTATGAAAATTGAGCATTGAAGACCATTCAATATTGAAAACTGACATACTGAGTTTAATCAAAATCGCTATGTTTTCGAGAAAATCGTTAAAATAGATGATATTAAGTAATACTTCCGGTAAGTCGATTTTAACAAAAAAACTTGCTGCAAGAGTTCGTTATTTGGACACGGAGAAAATTAAAATGTGTATTTTAATGGAAAACTCGGATTCCAAAATTTTCAAGATTTCGATGCTTTTCTTTAACATATATCCCTTATATACTTAAATGAAAGAAGTAATAATAACAGAAAAATCTGGAAAATTTCAACTGAACCAACATGAAGAGGTTGTTCAATAAAAAAAAATCTGGTGTGTCCACTCACATGACTTTCCTACCTATTTCAGAAAAGTTTGTGTATCTTTACATATGCCCTTCAAGAAACAAAAAAAAAAAATTGAATTAGATTTATTTGCCTGAAATTTGATCAAAGAAAAGATTTGAGTGCGATTTATTTGATAAACTAAAGCAATGTAAACATGCTTAAGGTAGATCAGTGTAAAAATTTCAATAACCTATAATATTGTTGATCAACAACTTTTTGCCATAGCTTAATTTTGTCAAACAATAATTTCTGTTGAAAGTAGAGGAAATAGTGAACTTTTGTGATGCGGGCAACAGATTTTCTTACTTTCAATTAGTCATATTTTTTTTCTCTCATTCACCCCTTTCATGTGTTTTCTTCACACCTGTGTTTTTCGGGCTCAGTGGACTCCGAAACTTATAGATCCATAGAAAACCGCATATCGAAAATTTGACCAGACCGCAATACTTTCCTTACCTAGTACATGTAGTAAAGTAATAAATTAAAATATGGGTAGAAAATATAATAAGCTGTATTATCGGTAAGACTGGTTCGATTCTGATTTTTTTTGTTTTGTGAGTAATTTAATTACCTTTTAAAAGCTTTATAATAAATTTTATCATATAATATATACTTAGCTGGTTAGGCCCCAAAACATTTTTCTTTTCTTTATAACTTTTTCCTGAATTTTCTCGGGATTTTAGTCCATATACGAACATTGAAAGGACAATTATTAGAACATTACAGAAACGACGTTTCATCAAAATCCTTAGAGCCGTTTTCGCGCTACAGTCTATAGAAAACAAGTTTTTAATTTATTTTGCAGCGTATGGATCACCCAATTTCTGTCACAGGTATCAGTAGTTAAAACCCTACAAAATAAAAAAAGAACCAACAAAATCGGTCAAGTAGTTCCGAGAAAATCTTGGCACAGATAGTCAGTCAGACCAATGGCTAAAAATGTGTTTTTCGAACTCAGGGGGCTCTGAAACTTATAGATCCGTCGAAAACCGCATATCGGAAATCTGACGCGATCGCAATACTTTCCTTACCTAGTATATGTAGGAACAGTCTAAATACTTTTTGTGATAGCACGAACTTTTATTTCATTATTGCAGATAATTATAAATTACCTGGGAGTCTTTAAAACTCCCAACTTTTTCAATGATTTTTATTGTAGTTGCAATAATAATGTTTTAAGTTTTCAAATTGAAGCATTCGTCACTTTTCCGTGAATTTTCCTTCGTTTGTAACTACATTCATCGAAATCCATCGCTCATGAGATCCAAAAAGAGGATACTACCGGATTAGTTTAATTTTTAACTTTATGGGCCTCTGCAAGGACTAGGGTGACCAATGGAGGAAGAATTGTATTTTTTTGTTTAAATAATTATAAAGTATGCAGGTTTAAAATTTGCTATCCGCAAAGGTGTTCAATACTTTGTTTAATTTCATATTAACTAAGAAAATCTCTGGACTACCGCCTCAAAAGTCGTCGGGGTGGGATGTACGGGTTCGTTCTTGCAATAAGTTCTTGGGATAATGGGTTTGTGTTGTAAGACAGAACTTGTGTTTACAGTGTGCGAAACCGTTTGGGCGTTGAAGTCTTTTTGCACCAAGTCGTTCGTCACATAGAACGATGCGTCTGTTATTTTTCTCAAAACTTTTGACTGAAAAGTTTGAATTTTAAGGATGTTGGAGGGTTTTGAGGTCCCCCACAGCTTTATCCCGTAAGTCCATAAAGGTTTTAAAAGTAATTTGTAGTAAGAATAAACGGATGTTTTAGATGCTCTTTTCTTATTGTTCTGAGTTATTCCAAAATGAAATTCAATGTTGATAAAAAAAAATATTCGATACTCTAGCCTTCCGCGGTAAACAGCCATTTGTTCGATTATTTTGTAATTTGTAAAGTCTTCCTGTGGACAAGCTGTCTTCCTGGATCAGAACACACTGCCGTTACACAATAGCGAACCTGAACGTCCTGAAGAGAGCCAAATAAGGGAGAGGGTGCCTGCTTGCAGAGCTACAACTTTTTCTCAATGGTCGCGGGTCAGTGCTCTACCGCCATTACCTTCCAGAACTGTTCCAGCACATTTTATCTGAATCCTTTCCAGGCTATGAATATGAAGACTCGTTTACTCATATAATCTTTAGTTAAAATATCGTCATAACCAACAGAACGAGAGAATGATTTTTTTTTTGCAGAAATCCAATTTGAAAAAAATGTAAATGAAACCATATCGTTGGAAACAAATCTGCGTATAAACGAAAATAAATATTCTTGCGGCTCCATCCCATGATCCCAGATTGGTAGAAAGCTTCTGGATACATTACGTAGGCAGTGTTATAAAGGATATCCTGTAAGTAGAGGAAAATATTTAAATGAGTGATAACTGGTCTCAAGAGCTATAACAAAGTTTATATGAACAATGGCTCATTTTTGCACAGAAAAGTAAGAAGTATAAGTTTTGTATTCTTTAAAAAGTAAGTCTCTTTTTTCGATGAATAGCTAAAAAAATATTTAATTTAAGTAATTAACAACTGCTTTAAAGTAAACTAGACAAACTTTACCTCAAATGAAAGTAGAATTTGTCATGCTTAGTAAAATTTAAAGAGGACTTTTGAGCGGATAAACTAAGCTAGATTTTGTTTTTAAAAAATCATGAATTAATCGCGATTTTTCTTTTATCCCCATTTTAATTACAACTATACTAAAGATTCCCCAATATTCGAAAAACTTCCTCGTTTAATAAGCTTTTTAAGTTTATATTAATAAAGTTGATGATTTTTTATGAAATAAGTTGAGATTCATCCGAAGTTGTGTAAAAAAATGAGGTGATTTAACACCCAGTCACCTAAAAATACTCGTGTTTTCAGCAAAAATGATTGATATAAATTTTTGCAAAGCTTTATTTCATGGCCTGGAATGTATTATAATAAACTTAACTGCATAAATACAAATTTTATCATTAAATAAACAAATGTTAAAAATGATGATTTTCCATAAATTTATCATCGAAATTGAATATAGTATATTTATTTAAGAATCTCTATTAAAGAAATTAATTCGTGTTAACAAGACACCAAATTTCTTATATGAATTATAAATTTTAAATTAATTATAAAGTTTCTTTGTGATCATTCAGCATACAAATACTAGTTTTGTAAATTGGATTTAAGGTGGTGTACAGTACTTGAAAACCAGAAAATAAAAAATTATATCATATTGTGATTAAAATACGTTTTAAGATGTTTACTTTCAAAAATTTTTACAGGTAGATTAATCCATTCTAAGCGGTTTAGGCAAATATAATAAATGGTTGCTACACTATTAAAGAACAAAATATATTTTTAGGTTCATTGCTGAGAGTTTCGAAATATCAAAATTTCAAATTTTGGATCTATCTTTATCTTTGTCGTTAATAGAAAATTGTTAATAATAATCTGATTAGTAATGATTCCTCATTTACACTTTCCACAGAAATGGATATCATAGAAGACTCGCTTAAATGTTTGAATAATGAAATGACAATAATTATTTAAATGATAGTAAACAATATTTATTGAATTTTATGACTAATATGTTTGTAGTAAATGCAATGTTGTCTATATACTAAGGTATTATAAATCTCGTAATTCAGAAATGAGTCTCAGAGTTTCGAAATTTTCGTTGAAAATTATTATTTCATGATTGGACATGAAAAGCTCGATACAGTAAAAATCCAAATATCTTCAATCATATCAGTAAAGTATTTCAGATGATTAATGTATTTATCAATGGTAAAAACAAAACGATTTTACAGAAACACTGCGCAGCGTTGTTACAGGAAACGACTTCGGTATTAAGCCGCACCTTGCTTTGACCATCTGGGCAGAACGTAATCCTATATCACTTACCAGTGAACCTTAGGATTTTCTAGGACAATAATCAAGTATTATGGTTTTTAAGTGAGCCAATGGAACTATAAATATTTTTTTTTCACTCGGGTGGTTTTATTATGCTTATCTATTAAAATATTGCTTCCTAACTACCGAAGGTAGGGAAGCATTGTGTTCATGCGAGTGATTAAAAACAATTTTGTGGTCAAAATCGAAAATTTCCACTCGCGTTTTACGTTTCAGACATCAAATTTTGGTTAGGTGTCTGTAGTCAAATCGATGTGACGGGAATATCTCCTAGTACCGTTCATCAAATTTACATGAAATTTTCAGGGATTATGCGGATTGGTGCCTAGGTGGTCCCATATCAATTTTATCAAATTCTATCCAGCACTTCCGCTTACGCACGCGCAAA